TATTTTGATCTATCTCGTAGGGTTCAGCCAGCGTTTGCAATGTAAGCGCAAAAAATGTGTTTATTTACGACATCACAGTAGAAACCTCTAAAATTATCAGTGTTTCCCTACTATATTATGCATGTATTATACATATAAACCTTCCTCTTGAATCACTCTACCTTTTAAAAAAACCGCATCAAAATCCGTTGCGTAGTTTTAAAGATTTAAGCATACATAGGGACAGACAGCGGGAAAGCGACTTTGTTTTATACTATGTAGTGATTAGTTCTTCCAAAAAAACCATTTTATTTTAATATCAAATTAACCGCCACTTTAATCCAAGGTATACCTACCTATTTAGGTAGATTTCTTATAATCGACCATCAATACTCAAAACGGTTTTCATATACAACTTAAGCCCTGAAAAGTACCCAGAACATAGGTCTAAAAAAGTTTCAATTTCTGAATTTTCATAAGATGTGAAGAGTACCTGCCTTTTCGATAATATTAATATTCATTTATAGATTTTGGAATTGAAAGAGTACAAAGATAGTAATCGAATTTCGATTTATTTGAGCACCGACAACGAAATTGATACGGAACCAATAATCAGAAACATATTTGAAACGGAAAAAAAATGTTTCGTACCACGGTAAACGTATATATTGCGTAATTATTTTGTAAGCTTTATGTATATGTTGCAATTGTACGTGTTAGATATCATGGTAAAATTATGGAAATGGTAAGACTTCATTCCATGGATGATTGGGAAAACCTTCCACTGACAAAATGGAATATTAAGCAACCTTCTGTCAACGATAATCGAGAAAATGCTTTAGAAACAGGCAAGTGCATTTAAATTTTGTAATTCGTTATTAACCCCTACTTATTATGTCCGATTTAACAAAACTAATAAAGAAAATTGTCAAGAAACAAAAGAATCTATTTAAAAAAAAAATGCAACGTGTAATTATACAACACGCTACTGATATGAAACTTTTTCAAACATACCGGGATAGGGGTAAGGAATTGGTTTAGTGGTATTATTTGTACACTGTGCTTCGCACGGGTGCAATGCTGATACTAAATATAATATAGAATGTCTTTATATACAACAATCACAATTCATATTCATATTCATTGAAATTACATGCTGTAAAGGGCCATATTGATCTATATTAAATGCACAATGTATTTAAAAGTACTTAATTGGATAAGGATTAGTGCTGTATTACTTAAAATGGCTTCGTAAATAAGCCATTATTTCTCGTAAAAAGTAAAGTATACAAAATAGTTATTGTGGGTTATCCCTAAGAGATTTTTTTTTTATGTTTTCGTGGAAGAGGGGAAATACCTAAGAGACAGACATATACCATCGCGGACTTTTTTGTAGACCTTTTTAAGGGGTACAATACTGTAGTATATTATTCTGATCTATCTCGTAGGGTTCAGCCAGCGTTCGCAATGTAAGCGCAAAAAAATGTGTTATTTACGACATATATATACATATAAACCTTCCTCTTGAATTACTCTATCTATTAAAAAAAACCGCATTAAAATCCGTTGCGTAGTTTTAAAGATCTAAGCACACATAGGGACAGAGAGCGGGGGAAATGCGTTGCATGTTTTCGTTACATAGCAACTCGCATGAAACAAACTTACCCTACCGTGCGTAAAGAAGTTTCATTTCAAAAAATTTAAAGAAGTCGTTAAAAGAACATTACAATTATACGAAAATCTTCAAATAACACAATAAATGGTAGAAAAAACTTTCTGGAACTTTGTTTCTGTATACCACCCCCTGCCTAATGAACTATATTTATTTACATATGAAGATATTTCAAACATCTGCGTTTGTTATTTATTACTACACCACACGTAATGGGATATGGGAGAAAGGTAACATTACAACAAAGAAAAGCGATAAAAATAATCCCCTATTACCGTCATCTGAACACGGTATCATATATAACTTAACCTTTTCAATTGTATTTATTACATTCATAATTAGAAATAAACTAGTAAACAAATAAAGGTGAATGCGCCGGGAAAATAACAGAATATTGGGTTTAGTATTGAAAATTTTTATAATGTGTAACAAAATGGTAAAAATATGAAATTCGTAAGTGTAAATATGAATATAAATGCTTCAAACAATGTTCCTATTTAATATGAGCAAAATACTCGATAAAAGAGGTACCTCTAAAAACTCCCTTAAAATGAATTCATTGTCATCTTTTATTTTGAGCCCCCCCTCATTGAAAGCCAAAAATAATTTAATAGTTCCCATAAAAGTGAAAATGAAGATCTAAAAAATCCTTTTTCGTAAGTTTAGTTCACTAATTCCATTTAAAATAATTAATATATACGGTCCCTTAGGCGAAAACACTCGAAGTTGTCGCCCATTTTAGATCCTAATTAAGGAGTTAGATAATTAAGGATATGGATAATAATTAAAATGAAATTACTTTTGCGCTTTCGTGGGATGGGTACATAACTAGCATTACAGAAAATAATTACATGATTTAATTAATTATATTACCAAGGTTTCAGGTATTATAATACAGCAGTACAAAACCTTCTGGGTGCAAATCCTGCTTTCGCTTACCGTGTTTTTTTATTTTTTGTGAGATAAAGATGAAGTCAGTTATATTCCTGAATTTTAGATTTCATAGAAACTTTTATGTAGAAATCCAGACTATATTTACCTCATTTTTTTTTCTTTTTTATTCAATTATCATAGAAATGTCCTTGTTAGTACTTTATTTATTATGAGATGTTTCAGGTGGTTTAGACATTATTATATTACCCGGGGTTGCGTTTACGAAGGATGGAGATCGATTAGGACACGGAATGGGTTACTATGATAAATTTCTATGGAATATTCGAAAAACAGGAAAAAAGAAACCTTATACAGTTGGGATTGGCTTTAAGGAGCAAATTGTGGATTCTCTACCAATAGAAAATACGGATTACAAACTCGATTCTGTTTTATATGAGGAGTAATCGTTTTAAAAAAAGAATACTCATGTAACTAAGTATTAATTTGTTGTAATTTTTGTATGAATCGAAAACAAAATAAAAATAAATTGTTTTGAGTTTTCATCAGAAATATTTCAACGTCATTATCTATTGAAAATAAATTGTGACGAAATTGATTCAATACTGCAGTTCATCATCATCATCATAAGGTCGTCAGTCCTAAGACTGGTTGAACACGCACCTCCATTCTTTCCTATCCTGCGCTAATCTTCGCATTTCTCTTGTCCTTAACAGTAATCTAATCTAGGTCTATCTCTACCCCTTCTAACTCCCGTTTCTGCCTCTAATATGTCTCTGACTAGACCTTCATTGGCTTAATTGGCTTCCATAGGGTCCTCTGCTATCCTATTCTTTGTATCTCTTTATTTCTAATAAGCTTCCCTATACACTGTATCCTCATCAATCGGCTGTAGCACCACATTTCGGAAGCTTCTAACCATGTCTTTTCCGCTGCGCCCACTGTCCATGTTTCGCACTCGTACAGCGCCGGGTTATAATTTAAAATTATAAAAACACAATACGACACTCAGATTTCTAGATGGTCCAATCTTTCCTTTATTTGAGTGATTTTTTTAGTTTATTTTAGACATAATTTCGTACACATAATTTTAACTATTGGTGAAAAAATTTTTGAAATTGGATGATGATCACTTTCGGAAATTAATCATCATATCCGCAAATAAATATATATA